GCTCAAGCTACATCAAGCACAAGCGAAACTGTCGTCGGATCTACCACCACAATTGGTAACCATAATTAAATATTATTTCACTAATATGGTCGCGTTATTTACTCAATTATCAATGCCCTTGATGATCATTTCTAGTGGAAACCACGGTCGAGGTGAAGTCGGTCGCTCCGGGCAAGACAAAGCGCCAAATAGACAACCTATACCCACCGAAATCTCATGCCCTGCAAATCAGTAAATACGGAGATATCTCTGTTTTCCAATGGGCTGAAGTGAGCACTGTACAGATAGAGTCTCCCTACGATATTATCATAAAAGTAGTTGCTACAAGTGTGAACCCTATCGACTACAAGCTCAGAAAAGGAAATTACTCAAATCTTATGAGAGCCAAATTTCCGCTAGTATTGGGCCTGGACTTTTCGGTATGTACTATGATGTATTTTACAAGTTTTAAGAATTGTTTATTGACACCGAAAATTACTGCCAGGGCATAGTTGTCGCTAAAGGCGAAAAAGTAAATAAAGTTCATCTGTTGGATAAAATCTTTGGTACCATCCGGGATGGTGGTTGTTATTCAGAGTAAGTATAGTCAAATCAGACAAGTCAGTCAAATTTACATATCATATAATAGAATACTATCGGAACAGATTCATCCGAGTGAATACGGCCACAGAATATGGTGTTGCCTTGAAGCCGGCATCAATTTCGCACATAGAGGCTGCAGGTGCTCCAATCTGTGCTCTATCAGCTTACGGTGCTTTAGTTACTCTTGGTGAACTTCCGGTTGGTAATAAGGCAGAACCCGGGAAACATAAAGTCTTGATCATTGGAGCTTCCGGAGGTATTTATATGTTAAGATTTGATTTGTTTATTATATCTACTTGAGTTTGACTAGGCCCTTCGCAAATATAAAGGCGTTGGAACTTTCGCTGTGCAAATTGCCAAGGTGGTGTGCAAAGCAAAAGTTACTGCCATTTGTTCTGGGACAAACGCAGAACTTGTACGCGGACTCGGTGCCGATCAAGTAGTCGATTATACGATACAAGATTTCACCGCAGTGTTGAAAGATGAGAATGACTATGATGTGGTTGTCGACTGCGTAGGCCGCCAAAACGACTTCTATCACAAAACCATCCCGTTATTGAAAAAGAAAGGTACATTCGTTGCGGTTGCATTCGACAGTGAAGGTAACGGAAAGGTCACTATAGGTGATTTAGCCAAGATAGGTTTCACGGTTGTGGGACGAAACCTCTTTGGCGCAAGGAGGTTTAAAACGCTTAATGGACCAAACCGTAAAGACTTCAAAAAACTCGTTCCATACTTGGAAAGGCACGAGATTAAGACTGTGGTCGCCGAGAAAATCCCCTTACGGGAAGGTGCTAAAGCTCATGAAAAGATTGAAACTGGTCGCACTGGTGGAAAGATAATCTTAACAACTTGATGTATTAGTATTGTATGGATAATATATTATAATAAGCATCTTCTCTCTAAATAAACCATACTTTTCATTTCACGTGATGCAATGAAGATCATTCCCATTTCCGTAAATGAATATATTCAGAAGTAAAAAAAAAAATTGAACCCCAATGAATTCCTTCCCAATTCAAAAAGGTTATGATGAAGGACTTTTTTCGAAGTGTTCCTTGGGTAGAATGCTCGAGGGAACGAAATGTGAACGTGTGTTCGGTCTTTCGAACCTTGTTACAACGTAAAGAGAGCACAAATAATATTCTGAACCGAAAAAATTTGTTTTGGGAAGGCGATCTTGACGTTTGATAACAATCTGTTGTCAGAGTGAACAGATTAGTTGAATGACAATGTTTTGCGATAAACTTCTTGGAATGTCGTTTTTAAAACTGGGCAAGGGACAAGACTATAAGCTTTCGTAGCCGCTGCGTGCGAGACGTTTGTTCTTTGTCATATTTATCTGCAATAAATATGTTCGATCATTTACATTACAGTTGTTGTAGTTTCATGAAATTTATTTTTGTCCTTCATGAAGTATCACAGCGAAGAGAGGTGTGTGGTAATAATCTTGTATATACTTGGTTTCTCTTATCCTTATCTCTTAAAGGTTTGCATATTAGTTAACCTATTAGCGGTTTCTATGTCAGTAAAATGGGGAATTAATACATCGGCTTCTTTTGCTGATGTTGGGAAATGTTCACAGTCGTACAACTACTTTTTCGACGACAAACAAACTAAACTCCTGAAACCTAGGAAAAGAAATATTGATTTAGTCTAACAGCTTCCCTATGTAAACGTCGCCGGGGCGAGCCTCGACTCGGAGAATTCCCATAATGCTCGTAAGAGATCTTCGTCCAGAGTTTTAAGATCGAAATGAAACTCCCCTTTGTTGAGGACAGCGCATTAATAAACTCGGGAACGTCTTGCAGCATACAGCCAGAAATCCAAAATACGACTTACCCTCAATTCGGT